GATTGTTTCAGCAGCCATTTAATGAGAAGACTTGAACCAGGAAGCATTTAATAATTATATCTAATTATTAAACTTTGGTCCTGCATGGATTCTCTCCATAAGCAAAGAAGATATATAGATATAGACAGATATAGATAGATTTTTTTTCATGTTCTACTAAGTTAAGGTCCTATGTGTCTTGTGTTACAGGTAGAAAATGGAAGACACCTGCCTCATCACTCACATGAGACTAGCTGGGTACAGTGGCTGACTTCTCAAAAAGGGGCACCCAGTAGGAACACTGGCAAGGAGTAAGATAAAGGTAAGGGCAGAGTTCAAAGTGTAGTAATGAAGTAAGACCCATGGGATAGGTTCCCTCCTCAGTTAACTGACTTTCATACACACACACACACACACACACACACACACACACAAATGAATTAGAAATCTACTTGGCTTTCTTTCTTTACACTCTGCCTTTTCTCACATTTTATCCTTAGCCACTCTCCTCACAACCCAAACATCCTTGGGGAGCAGCGATCATACAGAAGAGGAATCCAGCTTAAAATGTGCAGTAACAATCCATGCTCTTTACTCCTCTCTGAAATATCTCTGATTTCATCCTTCAGCTCCCTCCAAATTTCACTTGCCTAACATCAAACTCTTCTCTGTGAGTTGTTCTTTTTTTTTTCACCCCAACTAGCTTTTGAAAGCTTTTAAAAGGAAAACATTACTTTCATCCTCTGCAGTACAAGGTCTACAGATCAATAACCCCACTGGGTAAATCTTAAATGAATCACACTGAGGTGATGCCAAAGGAGAAAATAAAAGCTGGGAAGCTGGGGACAGGGGAGAATGTGGTTGAGTCACTACAAAATTGTCAACACTTTTATTAACTCACACATAGAATTGGCCAAAATGAGAAATGTTGACCTGTTGAAATATTCACTTTATAAGCTAAATAATGTGATTGAATGTATAAAAGAAAATGAAATTAAAAAAAACAGTAACTCAAATACACATACACACACACACACACACAAACACACACACACACACACACACACAATCAAGAGGTGAGCTAGGGGCTTTACTATTAAAATTGTAATTAATAAAATAATTGTAAAAGTTTCTCCTCTCTTCATATCTCCCCCTGTGTGTGAGAAACAAAATTCAGGGAAGCTTTCACTGCTTAATGAGGAGCAGAATTGGGAAGCCTCTGAGGCTGGGAATTCCAAGAATAACTTGGATTGCATCTAACTCATGGGATGAGTGAAGATTCTTATCCTTTTAGATTCCTGGAGTCTAAAATATCAAACAAAAATGTATAAATATGTTTTTATTCAATATGCACTGTTGTTTGTCTACTAATCCTAGGAATCTAGTTATAATCTAATGTTTTTGAGTTTTCTCATTCTCATATGCAGGAGACTAGTATTTAGCAGGGAGAAAAGATTATCTTAAGATATTGTGTGAGTAGACGAACAACATACAAAATAAGGTGACAACAGAAGAGGTAAAAGTTACCAGAAGAAAATGCAACAATACCTGAGAGACTCTAGTGGCCTCTTCTAGGAATTTTTTCATTTCATCCTCAGAGAATACCACATTCATGGCAGATCCACTGGGAAAAGATGGAGGAAAGCAGGTTAGTTTCTCTTACCACTTTGGAAGTAATGCTGATCATACCCAATTGATTGACCTTCAGAACCACTCCAAGAAACATCCAGTTTCAGTCTGAGCTAATAAGTATCTTTCTGTAAATTGATACTTACTCCATTTACTCACTATGATAATCAACCAAGTAAATAGTCACTGGAATTAGGGACAGAAAAAGAAGGTGAGACCCATACTAATGTCCAAGGGAACCCTAAAGCTCTGGAGACCACACATCCCCAGGGATTGTTCTTTCTGATTTACTGTTTTAACTCTCTCCTGGTTCCAGGTAATTCTTAAATCTTAACAAGATTCAGCTCAGAGCCTAATTTCTCTAATCCTATTTCTTCCAACTTTGTTATCAGTATCTAATGTTAACCAGGGCTATGTTGCCAAACAGGTAGTTCTACCTCAATCAGATTGCAAAATAATCAATTTTATTAACATTTGCAAATACAGTATGTGACTGAAACATATTTAACTGTGTCCTTCTTTCCAAGTAATTGAGACATGATACTAACTAAAATCAATTTATTCTGAATTTTGACATTTTCAAAATGAAATGGGAGGGGAGAAAAAGAATAGCAGTAAAGAGGGGAACAAATAAGAGAGAAAAATATTACTTTCCACTTCCCTCTAAAAAGAAGTATTTTCTTGTGTCCAACACAAAGTAATGACCAATGGTTAAGATGAAGTATATACTCTTAATAAATACTCTGATTTTAATCACTATGTATTATATTCTCATGCCAAGAAATAGCATCAGACCTTATGAAGGTCACAAAGGTACTCCAATAAATAGTAGTATTTTCTTTACTTTTTTTTTTTTTTTTTGAGGGAGATATTTTTGCTATAAGGCACGTGTGCTCGCCAGAGTGACAGAGAGAGACAGACAGAAAGAAGTCACCCCCCCAGGGGGGTGACCACAAGCCTTTATCCTCCATTCTCCTCTCAGAATTTTGGGCATGCACACACACCTGGCATGAGCTTAAGCTACTGGGTCCAGGACTCACACTGCAGATGACTGCATGTGAGTCCAGCAATGTAACCACTACACCATCTGCTGGTCCCTACCTTTCAACCTTATTACAAATTTTTACATTAAAAGCTTTCAATTGCTTCATATGTTTAAGGGAACAATAATACTGATAATTTGAGTATAGGGAGCTAGAATAAAGATATAGATTCAGAAAAAAAAAATCTTACCACTTTGGAAGTAATGCTGATCATACCCAATTGATTGACCTTCAGAACCACTCCAAGAAACATCCAGTTTCAGTCTGAGCTAATAAGTATCTTTCTGTAAATTGATACTTACTCCATTTACTCACTATGATAATCAACCAAGTAAATAGTCACTGGAATTAGGGACAGAAAAAGAAGGTGAGACCCATACTAATGTCCAAGGGAACCCTAAAGCTCTGGAGACCACACATCCCCAGGGATTGTTCTTTCTGATTTACTGTTTTAACTCTCTCCTGGTTCCAGGTAATTCTTAAATCTTAACAAGATTCAGCTCAGAGCCTAATTTCTCTAATCCTATTTCTTCCAACTTTGTTATCAGTATCTAATGTTAACCAGGGCTATGTTGCCAAACAGGTAGTTCTACCTCAATCAGATTGCAAAATAATCAATTTTATTAACATTTGCAAATACAGTATGTGACTGAAACATATTTAACTGTGTCCTTCTTTCCAAGTAATTGAGACATGATACTAACTAAAATCAATTTATTCTGAATTTTGACATTTTCAAAATGAAATGGGAGGGGAGAAAAAGAATAGCAGTAAAGAGGGGAACAAATAAGAGAGAAAAATATTACTTTCCACTTCCCTCTAAAAAGAAGTATTTTCTTGTGTCCAACACAAAGTAATGACCAATGGTTAAGATGAAGTATATACTCTTAATAAATACTCTGATTTTAATCACTATGTATTATATTCTCATGCCAAGAAATAGCATCAGACCTTATGAAGGTCACAAAGGTACTCCAATAAATAGTAGTATTTTCTTTACTTTTTTTTTTTTTTTTTGAGGGAGATATTTTTGCTATAAGGCACGTGTGCTCGCCAGAGTGACAGAGAGAGACAGACAGAAAGAAGTCACCCCCCCAGGGGGGTGACCACAAGCCTTTATCCTCCATTCTCCTCTCAGAATTTTGGGCATGCACACACACCTGGCATGAGCTTAAGCTACTGGGTCCAGGACTCACACTGCAGATGACTGCATGTGAGTCCAGCAATGTAACCACTACACCATCTGCTGGTCCCTACCTTTCAACCTTATTACAAATTTTTACATTAAAAGCTTTCAATTGCTTCATATGTTTAAGGGAACAATAATACTGATAATTTGAGTATAGGGAGCTAGAATAAAGATATAGATTCAGAAAAAAAAAAACAAGAAAGGAAGTGTAATCATCAAAGCTTTTTTTGTTTCAATTTGTCTTTAAATGAATACATGTTATTTAAATTAATCTACACTAATTTCCTCTTAGACATAGTATTGTTAGACTGTGGTTTATGTAAAATGACATTTAAATAAAAAGGAAAGTTTTCCACCTCATTTAAAATTTTTCATTATTTTAAAGGATCCCATCTCAAATTCCATTTACACTTTCAAATTGTGCTCAGCAAATTGTGTTTATCTTATTATCCTCTGTTCAGTGAAGTAGTTCCTTACATGTGGTAACATCTGAAGAAAGAAAGTGATAATTCACAACTTCTCTTTTGATGATAGAATTTGCTTTCAAAGTTTAATATAAAAGATCCTCACTGTCCATGTTCTTCACCATCATCATTTATCTATTAAAAACTCTGAACTCCAGAACTCAAAATTTCAAAGCCGAAGTATCTGTCAGAAGATGCTTCCACTAGTCAAAAACAACCTGTGATTTGTGAGTATCAGAAAACACGCTTGCCAAAGAAACCCCATTTTTTGGTGTATGTGTGTGTTTTTTATTGTCCTGTTCTCTAATGTAAAACTACCCTCTCTCAGCAAGATGGTTCTCAAATCCACTCTTCTAGATATGGTACAGCAGTCTCTGTGTTGTCACTTCCTGTAGGAAAAGCTAAAGGACCATGCATTATTCCTCAGACTAGTTGTAATAGTTTGGAGATGCTCAATGGATACACAAATTACTCCATATTGAGGCCTAGTGCTATTAGAATTACAGCATGCATTTCTGTATCTCCCAATTTTTAAATCATTGTTTTGGACAATATATTACCTCAGAACATAAGAAGGTCTCAACAAGCAGGGATAGCCCACAGACTTTGCAAATTCCAGTGCTTCATTCTAATTAATAGAAATGACAACAACAAATGTATGAATAGTTCAAAATGCACAATAAAAATGCAGAATGGTATCATTAGATCAAGTGGTAACCCAACTCTTTTTTATTCTTTCTCTCAAAAGACACTATTAAAATGTAAATTGGACATCAAAATACATAAAATTCCTAGCTTCTCATTCCAAACATCAAATCTGGTTCAAAAATAATTTGAACTTCTTTTCATTGTCTGAATCTCAATGAGAATACTGCTATCAATTTATAATCAGCATTTAACTGCAATCATGGAAATAAGGAAGCTTAGTAAATTTACTAAGCATAGAGCATTTTGCCTGCCCTGTAGTTAGCATCTCCAGTAGTTAACATTCGGGTTTAAAGTCTTCAAAAAAGAACATTAAAGACAAACACTCATTTCTTTTCTTACCAAGGTATTAACAGCTTTCCAGGGTGCCTGAGCCACCTTCAGCTCATCTAAGACGGCTGAGAAGATAGAGCGATCCTCAGCCCTATCAATCTGCAGAGGGCTTGTGCCCATGATCTTCACACCATTCTTGTATAGAGGGACTGCCAGGTTGTTTGGAATCTGACCCCCAACTGATATGATGCAGCCACCACATGCCTGGAAAAAACATCCAAAATATTGGCCATTGGAGAAACTTTATCATCAGTAGAACTGACAGTCGTACTAATACAGCTTCCGTTTCCTTACTGACAATGTTTAACCTCATTAAGATATGATCCCTCCTATCAATGGATAGTATTAAACTATGCCACAAAGAAAAAGGATAGATTCAGTTTTGTTTTGTTTTGTTTTTGGAGAGGTTTTTTCTATAGGCCACAAGCATTCACCATGAATACGGAGAGAGACAGAGAGATAGAAAGCAAGAAATCACCTCCCAGGGGAGATGGCCATGCCACAATCCCTTCTCCTCCATTCTCCTCTTGGGATCTTGGGCATGCATGCACATGTGCCCAGAGTGAGTTTAAGCCACCAGGTCTGGGACTCAAACTGCGGTTGACTATATGGAAGTCCAGTGACTTACCCATTCTGCCAACTGCTGGTCCCCTCAGTTTTTACTTTTTAGAAACTTACATGCTCTAATATTTCCACACAACTACCTTGAGTATGCTTTGCAATATGAGTGACAAATTATAAAAGAAAATCAAGTCGATGAATTTGCAGTATGAACTCTGTACTATAATTATTTCCTTCCTAGATTATGTTGTTTTTTTCTTAAGTGGATAGAGATTTCTCCTCCCACACTCCTCCTGTACCCATCAACCCTGGCACTTCACATTCAGACTAGGAATCCTCCAAAACTACTTCATCTAGTTACCCCTAGTAGGAGTTCTAAAAAAGTTCCCATCCCTAGAAGATACAATTTATTCTTTATTTTTAGGACACTTGAGATTCTCTAGTGTTATCGATCATAACCCCTCTCAGTACCAGGAAGAGTACAGTACTCATTATCCCCAACTGTGTATTATAGCAAAATCACACCATGGAAACTTCCTTAGCCATTGCTTATTTTCTTTCACTCTTCTCTCCTAACTTCTAGTCACCTCTAAAATCTAATCTACATCCCACCTACTGCTTGGGTGACATAGTCCACCCGTTTCTTTCCTTTGCTGCAATCTTGGCACATATAAACAGTACCCAGTAACTAATTTTTGTTGCTATTTCCATACTACTTGCTTTATAAGTGATGTCTGAATCTTTAGCCTCAATTCGTATGTCTGATTAGTATAAGACTTTTTTACTTAAAATCAAATCTCCTATTAGTAGTCAAAACTTCAAGATTGATACAGAAAAATAATGCATCAAATCTTGAAGTTCCTCAAGACTGATGCTGTAGTAGTAAGAGTGAGCCCGTGCAGGATGGTGGGAAATCAGATTTGCCATTAGAAGTCCCTTCTATGTTCCGTTCCCTCACCTTGAGGTTTATACACTTATGATAATGCTTGCTGCTACAGTTTTAATTTGTCTTTCAATCCATACTGAATATCATCAACAATCCAGACTGAAGTCTTCTATTTTAATCTCAATCCCCTTTCCTGATTTTACTACCCGCACCTCCTTCCAGGCTGGAAGCAATCTCTCTCCCAAAGCACACACTTTTGACTGCTGTGATTCAGTGAACCTTACACTTTGCTTTCTATTACTTGTACATCTGCCTCACTTTTTTACCATGTTTTAATCACCTTTGTATTGCCATAGCTGCTCAATAAATATTTGAACGAATCAAAAAAAAAAGTTTTGTGTTGAAAACTTAATCCCTAATGCAACAGTGTTGAGAGGTGAGACTTTAAGAACTGATCAAGTCATGAGGAGTCCTCATGAATGGATAAATGCCATTACCTTAGGAGTGGCTTAGTTACTGTGTGAGTGGGTTCCTGATAAGAGAATGAATTCAACCCTTTCTCTTGCTCCTCTCTCTCACTCTGTCTCTTCCTTTCTCTCCTCTTGTGCAACTGCTTTTCCATTCATGTAATGCCTTCTGCTGTGCTGTGACACAAGAGGGTCTTTACAAGAAGCCAACCCTTCGATCTTAAACTTCCCAGCCTTAAGAACTATGAGAAATATATATATACTTTTATAAGTCACCCAGTCACTGTAATTCCATTACAGGAGTACAAAATGAATTAAGACACCTGCCTACTTTGCAAGATTGCTATGTAGGTTAAATGAGTTAGTAAGAATTAAAGATCCTATACACTTAAAGTATAAAATAAGACATGACTATTAATATAAAATATAATATCTGATGGGCCCCTCAATGAAATTGGTTAAGCAACTGGATCACACATGGCTGACTGCATGGTTCAAGTTCTGAACCTGGAATCTTAAAAAAAAATACCAGTTCCATAAGTTTGCATGCCCAAAAGCCTGAGAGGAAAATGGAGGATTGTGGTGGGGCCATACACTCCGGACGATGTTTTCTTACTTTCTCTCTCTTTCTGTTTCTGATAATGCATGCACTCCATCACGAAAGTAAAATAAATAAATAAATAAATAAAATCTGGTAGGGCATTAAGGTTGGCATAATTTTTGTTTGCCCTAATGATCTACTAATAAATATTGGTAGAATTACTGAAGTAGTACATATGTCCCAAATGCATTTTATTGTTATTTGAAATCATCCTGAAATGAGAGCAATTACAGTACTGCCAATACAAACACCCCACCACTGAGTTGTTAAAGGCCTGGTAAATACTGGAAATAATAGCCCGTCATGCTGCATATTTATAAAGCTACCTGAGCTACTCTTATCATCACATAAAAATGTTTACTATACATTTTTTTGAAAAATCTTCAAAAAGGATTATTCTTCTTACTACAACATAAAAGGCCTTAATTAATAAAAAATAAATACTTTTCACAATAGCTCTATTAAATAGATATCCATTTTTCAAGAAATTAACTTCTCTTTATTGAGTACTTTGCTATGCATCCTAGACTAGCTGTTTGACCTTCCCAGTATTCTTCTGGGGTGATTGTCACTAACTCCATTTACAGCTAATAAAAGTGAGACTCAGTGAAGGTGTAGTGACTTGCCCATATCTCTTATCTAGCAAGCATGGCGCTGCTGTGTGAAACCAGTTCCATAACCTTGTAAACAATTGTGCTCAAGTAATATATCAAATATTCAAATCTTAAGCCAACTCTAGTTTCTGGCTGTTTTCAGAGGTGGTTAATACCACAGTTTAAGAGAAGAGCTGTTTCTAAAACATTCTTTTAGAAAAAAGGAGATAGAAAAATGTTCGGTGCAAAAACAAATTCTCATCATTGACCTCTAGAAATATAGATAGATCATGGCTGGGAAGATGAATTACACCTATAAGAATGTCTTGGGGTAACAACATGGTGTGCAATTTAAGTTTTGCCCATACAGCAAAAATAATTCATGCATGAGACTATGTTGGATGACGTTATTCTAGGACAGTTTCATGGAAGAATCCAATCTTAAATTGGTCCCAACTCCAAAGACAGGATTTGTAGGGACATAGGGACAAGAACCTGGTATCCCACATATGAAAATCACTTATACCTAGATAGTTTCCAGTACCCTACTGCAATAAAATATTCTACAGTTCAGATATTATTTTGGAGATTTCTAAACTATTTAAGCCTAAAATAATCTACTAGGCTCCCAAAATTCCATTCATTTTACCTTAGATTCATTTGTATCTTTTTAAACTATCTTAGTTCTCTATTTTAAACCTGATGTCCTAAGCTAACATAGCAGGTAACATTTCTGAAACAATATTCAAGCTGCCATCACACCAGATATTTATTTTCAAATAAATAACTACAAGGAAATGCTTCAAATTTATTGAAAACCTTTTTAATTTCCCCTAACCACATTGGACAGTCTTTATTTCTATAAGTTAAATGCTGTTTTGTGGATGGAATGCAATGTGGAAAAAAACTTATCTTCCTAACAAAAAAATAGCATTTGCTTTATTAAACATGTCCCTAAATTTTGCAGTTTCATGGATTATTAATTTACAAAATTCCACTACCTGAGCATATGCCAATGAGAAGTACCCTCCTTCATATTTCAGTAATTTACATTTTAGTAAAACATGTTTTATATTACAGGCAGAATCTGCAGATTACATTCAGTCACAATTAAACCAAATGCTAAAAATGAACACCAGTTCTATTTAGAGTCCATTTGTTTTCTAATGGGGTTTGCCTATTGCTAATTAATGTCTGTCATTAGTTTATTCATTTAACTCAAGCTGTGTTATAGAAGTACCATAGTATGTACATATACATATATGTGTTTGTGTGTGTTTCTGTATAGTGTTAGGACAATTAAGTCAAGTATGTCTTTTATGAAATACAGTCAGGCAAAGTATACACTGTAAAATCGAGAAAAAATATTCATGTAGGACTCAAACCAAGACATATCATAAGGTGTCAGATACATTGTCTGGTATTTTTAGAACAAGTTTTCTTGGTTTGTTTGTTTAAGAGAGATTTCTGCTATAGAACACACATGCTCACTGGAGAGTCAGAAACAGAAATTAAGAAATCATCCCCCATGGGAAGATGGCCATGCCACAATCCTGTCTCCTCCATTCTCCTGTTGGGATTTTGGGCATGCATGCCTATGTGCCCACCGTGAGTTTCCAGCTGCTGGGTCCAGGACTTGAACTGCAGTTTACTACATGGGAGACAAGTGACATAACCATTTTGCCATCTGCTGGTCCCACAATATTTGTAATGTTTAGTAAACAAATACAAAAATAATTGAGAATTGGATCTATAATAAGGCTTAGACATAAGAGAAAATTAATATTATTTGTTTAAATAACTTTTCAAGCCATGAGTCTTCAAAGGAGGAAAGGGGAAATGCAAAATTAGAACCAGACCTGTGTGCTTCTTATTCATTGTAACCTCTAAAGATTATTGCATAATTCATCCCCAGCAATTAAAGCCAGTAAAAGAGAAGGCAACATTGCAACTTCCATAAACAATGTAATAACTTTCAGCTTATTTATATCAAAGTAATTTTAAAGCACCTTTTTCCTGGTGGGGAATATTCTAAATAAAATTGTCATCTAGCAAATGGGACAAAGAAATGTGGTATTATCTGTTGAAGATAATTCGATAGTTTTATCAACTGGACTAGGGATAAATGTTCACATGTTGAACTAGTCACTTTGTAAGCTAAATAACATGATTGATCGTATAAAGGAAAATGAAATTAAAAAAATAATAATAAAAAGCCCTATAGACGGCAGACATCAACTTCTTGATTTCTTGACCCTTCCTTATACATTAAACAAATAAAAATCAAAATTTGAATCACTTCTCAGAGAGTAAAACCTATGAACACAATCATAAGGAATAAATGACTAAGTCTAAGGCAGCCCTTTATAAAGTATATATATTTAAAAAAAAAAACTAAAGGAATATATTACAGAATATTTTATATTTAACAAAATAAAAAAAGGTCCAATCCTCATCGCACAGTTGATAGCAGAACTGTCGTTGAAGTTCACATGCTAGAAGACACATGAGAAGACTCCAGACTTGCATCCTGGGTCTACCTGAATACTGCAAGCATCTCCATGGGCACAGCTATGGTACAAGCTAGCTGCAGGGCTGTGAAGAGGATCATGGCATGAAGACCCTTATGGTATGCCTCTCTCTCTCTTTCTCTCTCTCTTTCTGGGAATAAACGAACTTTAAAAAATAAACTATAAACAAGTAGGAAGGGAATTCCAGCACTCTTCACTCAACACCTAATGAAGATCTCTCCCAAAGCAACCTGCTTCCACCTATATGGCATGTGGAACTTCCCTCTTAATATTTTCTTTAAGGTTCTTCTTTGATGCCATGCAAACAGTCTTGGTCCAAGAGACGCATCACACTTTCTATCTTTCCCTGTAGTTATGTATCCTTGGGAAAGCCTAATTCTCTTCTAATGTCTCAACTGTGTGCAGTTATTCAAAACTTAGACATGCCTTCAACTTTCTGCAAATGTATTATAGAATGCCTTGGCTCCTACATCACTAGGGGCATCTTAAGTAGGACAAGGCAGTCTCCTACAGGTGAAGGCACACACACTGAAGACAGTGGAGCAGAATCTATGAGGAGATACACAGCAACCTCATAAAAGGAAACATGCAGCACATGTACACACACACACATGCCCATGTATGTATGATATGTGCATATGGTATATAACGGTTCATGCTGGATAAAGAATATAGCAGCAGAATATTGTTCTACTGTTCTCCAATATAATATTTTTAATGACGTTATAATATTTAGTAACATTATATTTCAAATGCCAATTAACTTTGAAGAAGGGCCAACTGATTTCTTTCTTTCTTTTTTTTGGAGAGGTTTTTGCTATAGGGCACATGCGTTCGCCAGAAAGACTTTGAGACTGAGAAATAGAAAGCGAGAAATCACCCCCCGGGGGGGGTGACCACACTGCAATCCCTTCTCTTCCATTCTCCTCTTGGGATTTTGGGCAGGCATGCACACACGCCCGGTGTGAGTTTAAGCCACCAGGTCCAAGACTCTAACCACAATTGACTACATGGGAGTTCTGCAACATAGCCATTATGCTAACTGCTCCCAGGGCCAACTGATTTCTATCATATTGACTTCAATTACAGTAAAATAATCTTATCAATAACCACGGGTAACTGCATCCAAAATTAGTCATAAAAGTTTTTAATATTGCCTTAAACCATTTCATGGGGAAATAATTAATTATACATAATATTTCTACTGGTATTGCTTGTAGTCCTTTTTAATATTTTAAGACAAATTCTTGATTTTTCACATATTTATATTATAGATTCAATTGTTTTTGTTAATGTCTTGAAAGCAGGAACCTGGTTTTATAGATGTCTCATCTGCTGAACCTGGAAATTGACAGATTCTCAAGAAATATTTATAGGATGCACTTGTTTGGATGTCCACCTATCTATCTGAAATAAGAGTCATTAGAAAAACCATGCCAGAGAGAGGACTAAAGAAAAAAAAAAGTATATATTCTATCTAATGGACCTATTTAATCGTATTAAATGGCTAGCAGGTTGGGGCTGGCAGGTAGCATGATGACTAAGGTGCTGGACTCCCACATGGCTGACTGTGATTCAAGTCCCAGACCTGGTGACTTGCTTTCCCACTCTCTCTCTCTCTGTCATATTGAAGAAGAAGAATAAATAAAATTAAATAAATCTTTAAAAGAATAAGAAGGTTAGCAGGTCAAGCCAAAATAGAGAACTACGATTATCCTAAATTCATCTATTTTTTTCTTTATAATAATAAAATCATCACATTGTTTTAGCAGTCTATTTTACTCTTTACAATGTGATTTAAACTATAATTCCATGTTGTTATCACAATACCTACATGGAGCATGCTTGTACATTTATATTACTCAATTACAAAAATAAATAAATAAAAGATGAACCACGGAATTTAAGTAACTTCCACAAATCAATGAACTTTCAAGTCAAAACTAGAATGTAGATATTGTAACTCCAATTCATTATGTTTTTCTCTAAATGACCTTATTTTACACATAGGTATGATTCTCTGTGATAAAAGATTGATTGTAATTACACAACTACTGTACATCACTCTGGACATTTGCAGTAATTATTTTTCTAACTGCAAGATAATTCCACGTGTTTTAAAGACTTACAGTAGCCTACTATTGTATGAATCCACAGAGGAGATACGCTCAATTGTATTGGAGTAGGATGGAGGAACAACTGTAAGAAAAAGCTTTAAAGAACCAAAATCACTCAGAACAGCATCATTGATCTTAAACTGAAGACTAATGGCTTCATCTGATGGAACAAGGAATTAACTGGTCCTTCGTGAGCGATTGACTTCTTTCCTCTGGGAACCATTCATCATTAAACCACATCATATGAACTAGAAAGAGGCTGTTTCTTGCAGGTCTAGATAGCCAATTAAATTATTCTGAAAAATATTTATAAGTGGTCATTTTATACTATTTAGTATGTGATTGGTCCATGTTACAAGTAGAGTGTTCAACAGATGGTATGCTTAAAAAGAAAAAGTGAAGTTTATGTATAAAAATATCACTGTGCTGGGGCCTCAAGAATATAAGGCTGGAGTGATTTTTATTTCTTTTTTAAAGAGGTTTACTACAAAATTAAACCACAGAAGACACTGGCAGCTATTCTCCTAAGGTGAATTACAATAGTAATCCACATACAGGGATACACATGTGTACAAAGTGTGCACGACATGTATTTTTCTTCATTCCTTTGTTCGTATTTACCTCTTGGTGATAGATGTCAAGGATTCTCTCCAAAGACAACTCTTCAAAGTACAGTTTGTCGCACTCATCAAAGTCTGTGCTCACAGTCTCGGGGTTGCAATTCACCACCACCGTCTTCTTGCCAAGTTGACGCAGGGTGCGGATACTGGAGACAGCACACCAATCAAATTCCACGCTGCTGCCTGTGGAGACATTGAAATTAGAAAAATGGATAAGAGGAGCATGAAGTTACAACAAAGGGAAGTAGAAATACATTATCAGTCTGTCCAAGTTCAGGAAGCTAATGCCTTCGACTCAATTTCTGAAACTCCAAAATATACATTTGAGACCCTTGAGGTACATTATATTAATATTAGGGGGAAAAAACAAGGACTAATTAAATAACAATGAAATGTTGGCCTGTTTTATAATCTAAATTCTGCCATAGGTAATCCCTATATCTGAGGTATTCAGATCCTCAATGTTAATGAAAGATAACTCGAATAATAAAAATAACTCTCATTTACTGAAAAGAAATTCAAAGTGAATATACTGATTTTGATACACCTCCCCTACACACACACACACACACACACACAAAGTGAAGTAGTGATAAGAATATGTGAGCTCTTGTTTTAGTCCTTACACTTAATAGGCTATATGAAGACTAATCTGAATGATCCCTGAGGTGCATTGCAGCTCTGAAATACCTTAACTTATTGGAAAGTCCTGTCCTTTCCAAGAATATTTTTTAAGCTTGGCAAGACCACCTCATGCAGCATAAGTGATCTATGAAGAAATCTGAAGTATAATAATGATATAAATGCCTCAAAATATTTCTTTACTGGGATGCCATAAAACTGAAAGTGCTAGAACTTGTACAAATTGTTTGTATTTGTCTCCTAAAAATTATTGTCAAAATAATATGGTGTCCAAATATAGTTAGGACCAGCAGTTGGTGTAATGGCTAAGTCACAGGACTCCCCTGTAGTCAGTCAATCACGGTTTGAGTCCCTGACCCAGTGGCTTAAACTCACATCGGGCATGTATGCATGTGTGCCCATGATCCCAAAAGGAGAATGGAGGAGAAGGGATTGCGGTGTGGCCATCTCCCCTGGGGGAGGTGATTTCTTGCTTTCTGTCTCTCTGTCTCTCTCTCTCTTTCTGGTGAGTGCACGCGCCCTACAGAAAAAAAAAACTCTCAAAAAAAAGAAAAACCCTACAAATATAGTAGTGTGTAAAGGCTTGTTTTGTATCCTATCATGTGGCCAATCTTCAAAAACATTCCATGTGGGAGTGAGGAAATTGTATAGTTTGTGACTGTTGAGTAGAAAGTTTCATAGATGTCAAGTCCATTTGATTTATGGTGTCATTTAGATTCTGTATCTTTCTGCTTTTGTTTTGTCTAGAAGATCTGTGAGGTGTTGAGAGTCCCAATGATTAGTGTGTTGGAGTCTAACTCTCCCTTTAGATCTAGAAGTCTTTTTTCATGTATTTATGTGCTCCCATGTTGGGTGCATAGATATTGATAAGTGCTATATACTCTTGATAAATTTGCCCTTTTAGTACTATATAATGAACTTGTCTCTTCTTAACAATCTGTGTTTAAAGTCTGCTTTGTCTGATGTTAGTATTGGAACTCTAGCCTTTTTTAAATTTCCATTTACATTGAATATCTTTTTTCCAGTCCATCACTTTCAGTCTATGTATATCCTTATCCATGCAGTATATTTCTTTTAGGTAGCATATAGAGGGCCTCTAGAGAGTATTATGTAAATGTGAAGTCCTAGGTAAATATCAGTTGTCACTTTACCAATGTGATATGGACCACAGCCCAGCACCATCATTCCATGATCATCAAAATTGATATCGTGCTCCTGCGGGGGAAAAGAAAGATATAAGAATTATGTGCTAGTCTTCCATTTAATTAGACTATATGTCCTGTCTTTTGATGAGTTTTTCTCATTCCTCTTGTTCATATACATCCTCTATTAGTCTCTAGAAGACTGTAAGTATAAAATATTATACAAGCTCTTCCTGTTTGTCAAAAATAGATCTACCTTAGTTTTTTTAAGTTAGTCATGAGAGCAGAGCATACTTGTAATCTTATAGAACCACTGTTATCTTTTTGCTTGTGTAATTTCCTTATTTTAAGGCAGTTCCTAAAAGTTTGATTACAGAAACATGACATCACATCTGACCCACATGATGTCAATGTTATTACCAAGACTTTGAAGAATCAAAGATGTCAAAAAATATATACTCTCTACTATGGATCATCTACTAACTATAGAGTTCTCTACATGCAGCAGTTAGGGAGTTCCTACCTGACCATTGTAGGTAACATAGAGGTAGTTTGTTACTGATGGGTATTCAGCAGCCAGTGTATCAATCTGCAAAAGAAAATAAACAAATAAGGACTATGTTATTCCCTTTCTCTATTATTCAAGACTGTGGATTTTTAATCTGCCCTTATATTCCTATAATACCTACTACTTCAAATATACAGACAGGAAAAAGTATATAAATTTAATTGCTTTCTAGATCTACAAATGGGAGAGAGAATAATTATACGATTAAGTTATCACTTTGGCAATAAATGGCTATACAACCCTAAGGCATTATTGGATTATTACAGGACTTCTCATGAATATGACAAAAGGGTCATACAGTCAACTGGCTACCAAGAAGACTTATCCAGCCAGCTGTCTAAAACAAGTGTACATAAAATCTAAAATCAGAGCAACACTCCCTGTGTGTAAAGATGTCTTTGGTTTGCAGATTAGTGCATATGATTTAAGTTACCTATGGCACTGAGGAATGGGATGACACAAATACAATAAAGCATGGGTAAGTGGTGGAAGAACAGGATCTTGCTGAACATATTAGGAAAAAGTAAATCAATTCAACGCTAAAGGGTCAATAGCTCAGCTTAGTGAGCAAGAATTTGAGGCTGACAGGGCAAACCGGTGTAAGGCAGGTGAAGCGGCCGAATGATTATAATTGCTGAGTAGAAAATATTTAGTATTAAGCTTGAGATCTGAGGGTAGCATATGCCCCCTGAGTACACAGAGAAAAGTCAATGGTTTTAAAGGACAAAAACCAGCTGGTGGTACTTTAAGCCAGCACAGTCCTTCCATTAAAAGCAAAAGGAAAAGAAAGAGAAAAAAAAAAAAAA